ATAATAAATATATAATATATTGGAGATTTTCTGCAACAAAATTAATTGATTGCATGTAATTTAAAATATACTTGAGATTAAGAGAGTGGGAGTTTTTTTTCTGCTTTGGCCACAACTTAATATTTTAAAATACTCTCTGCCTTTTATCTATTGTATTTTAGTCTCATCTAAAGAAGGAAACTCCAGGACATGTACAAGTATATGAGCTGTCTAAGTATGCTGATGATCTAAATACCCTGAACCTACCCTGGAGGGATGTTCTCTACTACTTTGTAAATCATCTAGCTCAGTTCAAGCTCACTCGATTATTTATAAAGAGAAGGTGTTACTTCTTACAGTTTGAGCTGTGTATCAAGCTGTTCTAGCAAAATCTTATTCAGCACGATATTGCAGTTGTCTTTAAGATGTAACTGTATAGTTCCTTTCCTACAGGTAGAAAACTTTAGCCAACCATCTTCCCACGGATCAGCCCTTGCTGAATCAGAGCAACAGATTTTGCGGGATTTGATGAGTGATGCAATGGAGGAAATTGAGACTCAACAGACTGCTTCTGTCATGAAGCCAGAGTCTAATGGTAGGAATCCTCTGGAGGCATAAGTACACATAAATTACAACCTTTCTGGAAGGGAAGTGGGATAGAAGGTTTTGTGCGTGTAGAGTTCCTGCAACAAGAATGGGAGTGTACCTTTGATGTGTGAAGTCTTCAAACTATTAAATAGATTCTTGCTTTTAACAATTTTAACAGTAATACAAAAGTAAGTTAAGTTTTTGTTCAAATACACATTACTGAGATTCTAGAAGGAAGAAAGGAAGGAATCTAACTTTGTGGGACTGTGAGACCCCAGGTTCTCTAGGACTATGGCTTATTGTGGGTGTCAGTTTATATGGCATACTGTGGTGTGGAGGAATCGGAGACTTCCATTCTGCGTATGAAAAGGCTTCTGTTGTGTGTGAGAAGGCAGTCCAGGAGGGTGATGCAGTTCTGAGACACAGAAAGAACTTCGAGCCATGAGAAGTATTTCAGTTAGCAGGTAGAACAAGATAATTATTTTTTTTAATCACAGGGTTATGGCTTCTGCATCATGGCTAGAGTCAAGTCAAGGTTTAAATTGGCTGAGGATTTTGTATCAAATAGAGAATTTCACTATTTCCATGATGTCTGGTGCTCTTTGATGGTGGAAGATGAATAGCCAATGTAGTAGTCCTGTAACTGATGCTGTGGCCTTACTATCAGAATGAGAAATTGGATGCTTTTTTTTTTTTAATTTGGTATCTTTGGATTTTTTTACAAATCGTTTTTTCTCTATTTTGTCAGTTTCTCTACCGGTAACTAGTTATTTTTTATATTGTAAGGACTTTGAATTGAAAATTGTATTTATAGTAGGAGTTGATCCAAGATACAATAAGCAAATTCCCTTGATGTAATTGAAGTATCACATTTAGTTAACTGTTAGGTTATTTTGTTCACTTTCATAATTTGTAATGATTTTTCTACTGAAACATGTCTTTTCTCCACCCTCCAACTCTAGGAGTTTTGGATGACAGATCTCAAACTCAGGAGCCATCTTGCTCAGATCTGTTCCTATTTCCAGATGAAAGTGGAAATGTTTCACAAGATGCAAGTCCTACTTATGCTTCATTCACTCATCACCTGATAAATGAGGCCATGGGAGACGTTCCTGCCGAAAGTGATGATTTCTGCATTCTTTTTGCACCCAAAGTTGCTGTTGCTGTAAGAAGCTTTTTAGAATTACTAAGAGAATCCATGTATAACTGATTAAGGGAAAAGCCTTTCTAAGATCTGGATAAATTAAACTTCACAGCTTTTTGTGATTGCTTCGTAATAATTTTTGTCAGTGGGCAGAGTAGCAGAAGAATAGTCTTTCTGTTTGAAATGACTTCATGCATTGTTACTGTTAGGAGTGAATGCAAGTATTTTCAAATATATTGTATTTTTCTGTATCTCAACCATATGCGTTTGTTCTCTGATCTGAATCTGACATTAAACTATATTGGCAGTTTTCCTACATTCTAGTCATGTCTTACCAAGCAATCTTGTCTTAAAATTATGGCATAATTTTAAGCAAAATACAACATTTATCAAAATAAGAGTTTTGCACATCCAATCATCTGTTAATTTCTCTCATAGTCAATGCTTTTATGGGCCTAAATCCTTGCCAAACCTTAGAGACAAGCCTGTGTTACTTCATGGTTCTGTCTGCTCTGGAAAAAAAAAAAAAAAAAATTAGGAAACTGTACTCAAAACTCCTTGAAAAGAGCCTGTGCATATGTTTTTCATAATATCTCTGGTTGCAATATTAAAAGACTTCTTATTAGAAGCTGTATTTGACCACTATGTTTTCAGAAGTGCTAATATAGGGCCTGGGCTCTTCTGTGGTTTCTTGCTTGGCTTAGTTTGTTTAGAGTTTGGATGAGGAATCTTTTTTAACTACTTCCCAGCCTCTAGTTTATTTTTATGTGCTTTTGTCTTTAAGGTGCTGTATAAAAATTAATTCCTAAACCAAGCCTGTGTTGTATAAGCTTTAAAAGACAGTACAAAATAGTTTTTGCTTTGCATAGAAAATAACTGGGCATCTCAAAGAAAGCAGATCTCACCTTCTTAATGCTATATACTGTATTTTTTTTTTTTAATTAGGAAAAAGAGGAAGAGCCAGTAATAAAAATAATGGTTGATGATGCAATTGTCATAAAGGAAAATCATTTCAGCCAGCCTATTAAAAAAACAGATACAAGCAAAGCTCCCCTTCATTTTCCTGTTCCTCTGGTACGCTATGTTGTAAAGGAAATCTCTCTTATTTGGCATCTCTACGGTGGAAGGGATTTTGGGACTGCACCTCCAACGTCTCCAGCTAAAAGTTTCATGTAAGTGTTTAATTCTGTAGATGAGAATATTTAATAATACTTCATTTTGCGTTGATTTGAGTTTGAATCTAAAGTATCCCTTGCTTGCTGCTTCGCTCTTTCCTCACAATGAATCAATCACAGAGTGGTTTATGTTGGAAGGAACGTTAAAGATCATTTAGAATCTTCTTACTCAGTTTAGGCCCACACATGGGAGTGTGCTTTTCCTGTGTCTTAACTTGGACAAGCTGAGTTTGGGTTTTGTTGCATTTATTTTTTGGGGATGGAGGGATGGGATTGTTTATCAGGCTTTTTGTTTAAATATTAACTACTTTAACAATAAAAAGAATGTGGTTAACAATACCACAATTTCCAGTATTTTTGGGGTATTTTCTAGTATTTTTGTCTTTTAACTATCAAAATTCTAGTAAGTTCAGTGAAACAAGCACTGTTAGATAAACAGTGAGAGAGCTTTCAGTTTAATCTACAAAAGTGTATTTTTCTTTATTTCCCCAGAAGTCCCCATAGTTCTCCTTCTCAAACGCCAACGAGGCATGGGCGGAGCACAGCGTGTGGGGGAAGAGGAAGAAACCCAGACTTCCTAATGGAAATACAGTTAAGCAAGGTGAATGACAGAAGTAGCGACAGCCATGACTCTGTGTGTGAACACAGTTACATGTTACATCCCTTTGATAGCAGCTTCCATTAGAATTCGGTATTACTCTTCCATTAGTATCTACATCTAAGCAATCACTTTGAAGGTGTCCAATACAAAATTTAACAAAAAGTGTATTTCTTCTTCTAGCGTAGTATTGTTACTTACTGAAAAACATGTTCCTAAAGATGAAGGGTCTTTATTATAACATTTTTAAAGTTTTTGATTGTTAGAACTGTCTCACAACTGTTCTGTTTTTGTCTACAGTTCTACTCTGAATTAATACACCAATTATGAGATTAAATATAGAAAAATAGATCTGTTGCGACACTCAGTGTATCAGTTGATAACTGGATATTAAATAACTTCCAGTTCTATCACAGTATCATTCCTGTATTTTCCCTAACATAGTTGGCACACTTCAGGCGTAAGTATGTTACTGTTGTTTTTAAGCATGTGCTTAGCTCTAACGTATAAACCAGATGCTTGATTCTGGTGCTGTGAAGAATAGTGGCAAGGAGTTAAACAAATTCCATGTTAAATGCATCAGTAACAAAACCTTTTTAAAATAAAATTCTCTCAATCATGACTGTAAACATGAAAGGTACTACTTAAAACTAAATGCAACTATAAGCTCCATCTGTTTGTAGAGCTTAAAGTTCATCCCATTAGCACTTCAAACTTGAAAGAAATATTTGATACTTATTTTATCCCTTTCTATAAAAAACACAACATTGCAATAAAAAAGAACAAAAAAAAAATTTCATTTAATATTCCATGTGGAAAACTCCATATGTGGAAGTAGAGCATTCGTTCTTATTTTGCAGCTGTTTAATGTGTAGATGTTAATACTGAGGCATGAAGGGTTTGGTTTTCTTTTCCTCTACTTGGACCCCTAATTTGGTACAACGCTTAATGGTGATATTTAAAAAAGAAATTAAAGAGAAAAGAAACATCAAAAATACTGTTTCTGAGCAGTGTTTATAATAAGCATCTGTTTTTTTCTTCAGCACTTAAAATGCTTGTTACCACACATCTTGAATGCAGGGCCCATAAACAGCATTTCTTAACATCTCAGTATCTGGCCAGAGGAGGCCACTGTTTAGCTTGCTGTGTGTGCTCTTCTTCCTTGCAGTGCAGGTGTCAAGGTTAAGGAACAGCAGGGAAAGATGCTATGGGCATTATTAAGACAGGGAATGGTTGCTAGGTAACCACAGGTCTTTGACTGAAAACGAGAATGACACAGAGAAATGTGGAAAAAGAATTCAGAAGTCTTTATAATTGAAGAAAGGTAATGAATTAGAACTTGTATGGCCTAAAGTGAACAAAGAAAAAGGAAACAGAGTGGAAGAAGTTACTTGAGAAGGCTGTTGTTAAGGAGGAAACTTTACTTTCCTAAGTATAGGAGGTGCAGGATCCAAGAATTCCAAGACTGCCTGGTACAGGCTTCAGTATGATACAAGAAAAGATGTTGGGAGTAGGAAGGAAGAGTTGGTAATAAAAAGAAAAGCAAAATGTGTTTTTCTTTTCACTGGTGCTTTTTTTTGGCTTGAATTTGTATCCTAAAATGTGAACATCTGCACAGCTTTGAGTTGAAAGATTTCTACTGCTAGATGTGCAAAAGTCTGGATAGTTTTCAGAAATCTTCGTATTATTCTTGTACATTTAAAAGAGTTGACAGCTTTTAAAATTCTTGTGGTATGTTGTTTTTATTTTTCAAAGTAGTATTCTAGTGTTGAAGGTTGTTTGTCACTGAAGCTGACTATGATGTGTTTCTTTCCTTTTTAAAAGGTGAAATTCCAGCATGAAGTATACCCTCCAGCTGGTGCAGAAGGTGAATGCAGTCTGTTGGAGCAGCCGGTGTCTCGGCAGGTTTTTATTGTTCAAGACCTGGAGATTAGAGATCGCTTAGCTACATCACAGATGAATAAATTCCTCTATCTCTACTGCAGTAAGGAGATGCCCAGAAAAGCACATTCAAACATGGTACAGTTATGGGATATATTTATATCCATTATAGTGGTTGGCCTGTCATTGTGGGGATTGCATACATCTCTTAGTCTTGCAGAAGAAGAAAGATGAGGTATTATTTCCATGTTCCGTAACAACTTGTTGATAATTATTTACTGGACTCCTGATGGATACTAAAATGAATTAAGAAGACAGTTTGAATATTAGTATGTCAGGGATTAATATTTCTGAGATTCTGTGAATTTAAAAGAAAGATGTGCAGGGTTACTTCAGTAGCTTTTGCATCTTGGTTTTGAATGAAGATCTGCTTGAATGAGTATGATGAGACATTCACTGCACATGCAGACTTGTAGATTTCTGACTAGTGCCATGATAAATAATAAATATATAAACAATATATAAGTATTATATAATAATATATATGATATATATAAATAATAGTAATATATTCTAAATAATAGTAATAATAGTCCTATTGGTTCTATAAAGGATTTATGAATTTGGGGTTTGGGGTTTTCTTACTTAATTTTCTTTTAGCATCCATAATTTATTTATTCAATAAGTTATTTATTCAGTACTAGCTTTATAATTGGTAAATGGACTCATAACTACAGAAGTTTTGAAGTAAATATTTTTCTTAGCTGGTGTTCTGAGATTTAATAATTGTAAATGTTTACTACTTTTATTTATCATCTTGGTTTTTTTTTCAGCTAACAGTTAAAGCATTACATGTTCGTCCAGAGTCTGGCAGGTCCCCACAGGAATGTTGTTTACGTGTTTCACTAATGCCACTTCGCCTCAATATTGACCAGGTTGGTTGTGCCAATGCAAAAAAAACCAAACAACAAAACAACTAAACAACCAAAAAAAACCCCAACACTGTGCTTTTTGCCAGATACTTGTAACTGTCATACACAATTTATGTGGTTGTTTTCTTGGTTGGTTACCTTTTTTATGGAGTCACACGTACCTTTGGATCTCTGCTGCTTTTTTTATATCCATGTTAGAACTTGCAATCTGTTCCAGCTTTTACAGAGCCTATTCTTAATTTAAAAACTAAGAACATCTGTAGACCTGGCTGTTTAATTAATAATACCTCCTGAGACTTCTGATGATCTCAGATGTTTTCAAATCATTGCTTTGAAAAAGCATTTACTTGTTCTTGAATGATTTTGCTTTGTTTGTTCATGAAGTGGCTTTGGTGGTTTTGATTGAAAAAAGTTTATCATTAATCCAGAAGGTGTTCACAACAGTTTAGTCAAGGGCACTTGACATTTGAGGACTGCTTCTATACTCTGCTGGCTTTGATCTATCAGCTGCAGTGGCAAGAAGAACAGAAATAGGAGACATTGTTTTACTTCCTTGCAAGTCTTTGTGCAAAGTGTTTTTCATACACTCAAGAAACACTTGGGTTTTTTTCTACACGTGTAAGGAAGCTACCTATGTTTGTGCATTCAAATTTAAAGTGCAGTTACTACCATTTGTTAAGGCATTTCTTGCCTAATTTGTCACCTGCAGAGAGATGTTTGTTTTTTTTAAGAGCAAAATTAGGAGTTGGTACCTACCTTCTGTTTTCCTTAACACACGTTAGAGACCAGGTTTTCAGATTAGAAAAATTGAATTCTGTATAGTGTGTAATAATGTCAAGAAAAATAGTATAGAAATACTACCATCTAGGGAGGAAATACGTTCCCTCTTGCTTGTGTACGTCTTTAGTACCATAAACAAAATTCACCTTTAGAAATTCTACAGAATTAACCATAGCTTTCTTGGAAGCACAGGGCTGCATGCACTCATGTTACAAATTCTTGGTTTTACTACTTAGGATGTCTGCTTCTCAGCTGGGAACAGGAAAGGAAAAGAAGGTCAGATGTTGTTAGTGATGGGATGAACAAAGCACCAGTGTGATGCATCTATCAAAAAAACCAAAAAGGGATGTAAAAACTATCCTAGATTTCTATGTGGCTTCTGCATGTGTTAAAGGATCAAAATGAAGAAATGTGTTTTTGTTCATATCTGTATAGAAATTACGAGCTGGAGTAGTAGATAATACTTTTAGAGAATTGGGTATTTTTCTTTTTTTTAACCTGTTTATATTTTATTTTTGATGTTAGGATGCCTTGTTTTTCCTGAAGGACTTTTTCACTAGCCTCTCTACAGAAGTAGAACTCTTAGTTACTCCAGATCCTGAAGGTAAATGTTTCAAAAATCTGATCTGAAAGTGCTGCTTCTTTATCCTTCAATGTGTGTGCGTGTCTATAAATACACATTTAAATCTCATGTGTGTAAAAAGCCTTATTTTAGTGACCAAACCCCAGCATTAGTAACCAGTTTGTTAGAAGACAGAAACTGAGTATTTTAGATTTGTATTTTATAAATACCAACAAAGGTCTTCATCAGCTGGGATGTCCATTGTATGAAAGACTTCACCAAGACTGGAGCACATTTAATAAGAACTTCTGAGAAAACTGAGGACTGTTTAGTATTAGGAGTTATTACTAGATGTCGTGGGCTGATATTGGAGGGCTGCCAGC